TGGCCCACCCAGGGCAATAAAAATACCCGTAAAGAGGAAGTAATGTTTTCCCTGAAGAGATCACATTCCTAAGTATTCAAAGGAGGTGGACATAGTGGCATGCAGGATGAGTAAAACAACAACAGCAACAAAACTTTATTTATATACCACCCTATCTCCCCTTCTAAGCCTCTTCTTGAGACAGACGTGCAAAGGGAACATCCCCTCATTCTAATCTATCTAGGCTAACTACTCATTGAGGGCTGGAGACTTGTGCAATCAGGGATGAAACCCAACAATCAAGACATTTCACACTAATTTCTACTGACACTGGAAAATCAACATAGAAGGGATGGCCAGTTCTGTAGATAAACTAACCTGGAGTTCTATAATTTTTAATTAGTATGCTGGATGGATTATGGATTTATGAATTGACGAACGTTGACCACAAGATGATTTTATTGCTGCTGTTGTTTTAATTTGACTGTTTTAGTTATACCTGTCGTCGTTATATTGTAAATTGTATTTTGTATGTTGTGAATTGTTGGGCATCGAATTGTGCCTTTTGTAAGCCGCCCTGAGTCCCCCCTAGGGGGTTGAGAAGGGCGGGGTAGAAGCACTCCAAATAATAAATATTTTTAGAGCTCTTTGCTATCTGTTATAATATACTTGCCTTGGTTACATCTCATTTGGAGTCCTGTCTCACGTTTTATGTGGGCATAACGTAGGAAGTTATTTCGAAGTTTCACTGGACCCAGAACAATGTTGCCAGGCTGTTGATTAGGGCTGGTTTCAGGAATCGTAAGACTCTTCTGTTGAAATATCTTTATTATTTAAAGCCCTACACAGCTTGGGTCAAGATTATCTGAAAGTCCATACCTCCTGCTACAAACCAGTATGAGCTTTAAGATATCCAAGGGCTCTTTTATAATGTTTTAATTCTTTTAAAAAAAACCTTTCTACATCAGCGTCAGTTTTGCTCTCTTCACATTTTTGTAAGCTGCCCGGAAGTCCAATTAAAGAGAAAGATGGGATATTAATTCAATATATCAATTTTTAAAAATAAATTCAAACTCCCTTAGCAGTCCACAATTGATCCTGTGAATTTGGAAATTTCCCATTCCATTGAAGGCTGAGCCGTCCTAGATCAATGCATACAAGAACCTATTAAATTAAAGTTGTATTTCTTCAATGTCTCTCATAGCTCCAGACATAATTATCTTGGATAAGCTATAAAAGGTTTGCTTAGATTTAGCACTTGGTAGTGTGTTTAATCACTCAGCAAATGCTGTCATATTGCTGTTTTACAATTACTTGAACTTGCTGCTATGAGAATAGGCACCTTTGAAATACTGACAATGATATATTTGCAGAACATAAAACTTAGCAGCATGAGGTTTGCTGCAATTCTACTGGGGAAAAGCCCATCGTAGAACCTTGTATTTAACAGAATGAAGTCATATCCCTCACCCTACAGTAACTTGTTTGCATCATGTTGGTAAAGTACAATAGTACCAAATATCAGGTGCAGATATGCAGCATAATAGTAATCACCCAGTCATTATTGTGGGGGATGTTAGAATGTTATTGTATGGATGCTAGAACATACATCTCAGGGTGCATCCACACTGTAAAATTTGTGCAGTTTGAAACCACTTTAATTGCCATGGATCAGTGCAATGGTATCAGCCAGAGAGTTTAATACCCAAACTCTATTGTTACCATGTAGATTTTGTTTTCTTTTATGTCCGCAAATTATGTAGGTTTACAGCATTGGTTCCCAACCTGTGGTGTGTGGACCACCAGTGGTGCGCAAGAACAAAAATATGGTCTGTGGCCTCAACATTACTACACCATTGCCTTCAAACCACATGGCAACAGGAGTGACTGGTCTCACGAAACCCTGTAATAGTGCCGAGGCGACAGGGATGTTGGGAGGCTGACTACCCACGAAAATTTACTGCTATCATATCAGCTCTAAATTATTAAATATGGTTTTCTATGGGAGAGCAGATAGCGACTACTGGATGGCATATGTTCTGTATCAGAAACTAGAGCTGGTGTTGTCTATCCAATGCAATTTTCTGAATCAGCATCCCAAATAACCAAACCGAATCTAAAGATGACTAAAAACTAATTCGTAACCCTTTTGGTACTCATGTTGGAGACTGGTCTCTGGTCAAAGTGGTCCCTGGTCAAAAAAGGTTTAGAACTACTGGTTTACAGGCATTAAACAATGCTTAGCTCTCTTGCTAATTTAAACTATTTTTCTTTCCTAATTACAAAAAACAAGTAGGTTATAGAGTCTGTAAAATTCCGTCGAGTTACAAATGCTCATGCAGTGTAACAAATGCTCATGCAGTGTAACAGTACCAATATAGTGAGTCTATTTAACTTTGCTAATATGTTTGAATAATGGCAATCATTATCCCACATCTATCCCCATGCAGTTTGCATAATGCAGTCAAGAGCTTTTATAACAGCCTTACTTGGAGTGCGAGTGGGGAGAATGAAGCTCAAAATAATAATCTGTGCCACATGGTGCACAGTATTTCATCTCGGAAAATTCATTGGAAGTGTGATATGGAATTATTGTTTCCCAAAACTGTATCTGAATTCCATCTCTTGGCCATGAAGGGGAAAAATCAGTTTCTTCTTTTTGCCTTGTCCTTGTTGCTTTTTTTAACCAATAATTTTATTGTAATTTTCAAATGGGCAAAGTTACATAAAATGGGGGTAGTAACATTTGAGGTGAGTTGTGGGAAGAAGGGGAGGGGGTGGATTAAGAAGTGGTGGGGAGGGGGGTCTGGAGAGTTAGAATATGGAAGGGGTAGGTAAAAAAAAAGGGGGTAATGGGGTTGGGGAGGGAATTTGTACTTCCATTTTTCTCTATAGTTGTATTATAAGTTGGGTATTGTCCATTATTTTGGTTCTGCTTCCTTCTTTCCCTGTGATGGTATCTTCTGTCTTCTGTTTTCTTCTTTTTAGAGTAATATTTTTATTTTATTTTCCTTCAGCCATTCTGTGAAAGGAATCCAGTCTGTTGTTTTGATATATCTGCCTTGTGATTTAGAAACTAGTGAAGGTAATTTGTCCATACTCATCATCTCTAACATTTTCTCTATCCAGTCTTCTTTTGATGGTATATCCTTTTGTCTCCATACTTGAGCATACACCAACCTTGCCGCTGTGGTAACATATGTAAAAAGTTTATCTTTGTGTTCCATTCTGTATTCATCATCCCTAGTAAAAAAATATTCAGGGTGCATTGGGAACTTTTCCTTCAATATTTTTTGGCATAATTAATGAATTTATTTCCAGAAGCCTCTTGCTTTCTCACATGACCACATGTTATGGAAAGTTCCTTCCTGTTTCTTGCACTTCCAGCAATTCTGGTTGTAGTCTTTAGCAAATTTGCAATTTTCTTAGGGGTCATGTACCATTGGTACATCATTTGTAGCCAATTCTCTTTCAAATAGTAGGTGTAGGCATATTTTAATTTTTTGTTCCACATTAATTCCCATTCATCAAGGATTATTGTCCTTCCTATATTTCTTGCCCATTTAGTCATACAGTCTTTTATCTGTTCTTTTTCTGTACTGCACCCTAGGAGTAACCTGTAAATTTTTGCATTGGTTTTCTTCCAGTTTATTAAAAGTTTATCCCAATTGGTTGTCTTTTCTTCAAATCCTGTTTTACTGTCCTTGTCCTTGTTGCTTTTAATAGAACTGGGATGGACGGACGGACGGACGGAAGGAAGGAAGTGGTGCTAAGGTTTAACTCATTGGGTTGCCTGCTTTGGCTGAGTAATACCAAGCTTCAAAAAAGGTGTTTCAATGTTTTCATTTTTAAAATGTGTTTTGGACTAACAAAAATGAAGAAGGAATTTCCCAACCACCAAGCAGTCATTCATAAATCCTGATTCAAACTACGTATTAAAACTAGATAGTAAAATACAAGAGATAAATTGCTACATCAAGATCTAATATGCAATTGCTCCTATACTGTATACTGAAATCGTTCTAACAGAAATGTGCACTATCCAAGGTAGAGCGATACTAACACTGCATTCATTTACTTTCTGTTTAGACGACTTAACAGATCAGTCTGGTCAGAGTTTAAAGAATGGAGGAATTGTGAATTTAAATAGACCTTCCCAATATTAATTCTAATTTAATATTAATAACTAAACCAGAACCCTTGAGATGTTGTTGGAGTATAGTTTTCACAATCCTGTACCTATAACTGACTAGGGCTGGTGGTGGTACAGATTGACATCTGGAGATCACATCATCCTTACACCTGATCTAGATAGATATTGGATAAAGCTGAAAACAAATCTGTAACATATAGACAAAGAAATGGTCTTCTCCATCCCTTTGCCCCCTCTACCTTTCCAAACAACATAGGCAAGGGCAAACTTTGGCCCTCTGGGTAGGAATTTTGGAAGTTGAAGTCCAAAACACCTGGGAGGCCGAGGTTTGCCTATGCCTGTATATAGCTTAAACCAGATCCCATCATAAAGTTGGCCTTCAGACCCACCAGCTTCAAGAATATTCATGACTATGTTAAGGAACTAAACACAGAAGAATACTTGTTACTGTGGATGCTGCACATAATATGTATGTCTTGGTTTATGGCTGAATGTTCCTAGATGCATGCATTCACATTTAATTTTAATACTTCTATTAAATACTAATTACATTTTAATGCACTGTACAAAAGAAAAACCTATCTGATGTACAGACAGTTGCTACCGAGGTTGCATATTGGAAAACACTTAATCATACTACAGTAAATAGCCAAAAGATATAAAATGTTTAGTGTCAAGAAAAGATGAGATTCTGGGGGAAACATGTACTTCATGGGTAAAATAGCTATTAATTTTAAAGCATGTGATCTTTATATGTATTCTTTCTTCTACTCCCACTACAAGTCACTACTGACTGGTACAGATGGAAAAAGAGAATAGTGGATATATCTAGTTGATGTTACTGGTGGTCAATTAATCTGTATTACACTTTAAAACAGTAAACTACTTGATTTTATTGAAATTGTTGTGCCAGTCATAGACTGTGTCAAGTGAATCAGTACTGGAAAAAGTGGGGCATGTACATTCACTATATATAAAAATAATTGTTTAATTCTTTGATGCATGTCTTTTAGCATATTACCAAGCACATCCAGCTGCAATTATCTTATCATACATAATAATTATACATACAAGTATTTAGAAAACAGAATACACAGAGAGGGTCCTGTTTGCATTCTGAGTTTTTTCCCATCTGGATTTGGTAATTTACAAACAGTTAAAGTACTACAAGATTCCAGAATAGTAAAACATCTCCGGAATATGAAAAAATGTAGCAATTTTAGTGCCCTCGTTATTCAAAGTTGGTGTTGTACAACCTATTTTGTTTAAAAACAACAGTAATGCAACTGCAACGAGAATTACCCACACTGGTGTGTGTTCCTGGTGTCAAGACCCCGGACTGACAATTCTGCTTCTTGGTTTGACATATTGGTTTTAGAAAACACTGTTTAAACATTCAGCACCGTCAACGTGCCTCCAAATGCACTCTAACATAGAGCACCAATTGCGAACACTACAGAGTGCAAGTCTAACTATCTCCACAGAGGGAAAACTGCAGAGGCTGCTAGTGTGTGGCTAAAACTGAGACAACCACAAAAAGGACACCTCTCTCACATACTCAGCATATGAATGGAATCAAGTACAAAAGTGAAAGCATAAGACAAGTTGCAGGTAGTCATTTTGTGTGTGTGTGTACATATGTAGTAGTGTAATCTTAAGAAAAAGAAAAGAAGTTGTACAGAGGGGATGAAATCAAAGAATCAAGGGGTTAGAAAATGCCACCTGAAGACTGGCACCTGAAGAATGTGAAACCACATTTCTCCTTTTCAGTAGTTTTGTTTTCTCCAGATGGTCCCAATTTTTCCCCATTCTTTAATATACATTATTGTAGCAATGATGCAAGGCTGGCACATTCACTGTCTCACAAATGAACAATCCACCCACCTATTGGGAAAAGTGCACTTCCAGTATCAGATACAAAAATAGATTGGCACATCATTGACACAGTGAAGAAACACACCACAACCTGCCACCACTTGAAGGATTCTTCAATAAGCTGAAAACCACCAGCTTATAAAAAAGCTGACAAAATTCCAAGTAACTGAATGGAACAGTGAAAAAGAAGCATGAAATGAAGGCTACTGTAGATCCTCATTCTTTTCAGGAGAGATAAGCATAACTCAAAGAAGTTCTTATTTGGTCCATTTGGTATGAATCTAATCCATCCACTGCTCATTTGCATGCAACTCATGCGCTTAGTTAAACAGTTCCTGTAGCCTGAGAGTCTTAAAAAGGAATTTACTGCTTTATTCCTATTATCTTGTCAAAAAGCTGCACTGAAAAAGAGTACAATGGGTCTTGGGGCATCTGTGTCCCATTTTTGCATTTCCAGTAGTAATTCTGCTCTTCTGAGCTCAACAGAAAGTAAGTTTTTAAACCCCTCCCCCTTCTTGGAAGGGTAGCCAATGCTAGGAGTTTTGGATCAAGCGTCTATAATGTGGCATGACTTCATGTTCAGGTAGATGGAGAGCAAACTCCAAGGCCACTAACGCTGGAAATTCATAGGCAATCAGTTCTCGCCTGTTCAGCCGAAACTTCTCTTCCAGTTTCTGTAATATAGGAAGAAAAAAACACATATATATAAGATGTATTTTAATATGCATATACATATATACATATACATACATATGTATATTAAAAATACATCTTATTGCATTTCAATAGCAGTTGTGCCAAAACCCATTTGGAAATTGGTTGTGTACATAATATAACATTTTCCCAATCATATTTACAAGTTAAAAGTACATCTACCTAGTCCTTTTCCATTGTTTTTTCCCCATCTTTTACATGACACAATACAGAGGTAGGGACTCTTTAATGTTCCAGATGCTATAGAATCACTGTTCCTACTATGCTTCCCCATAGTCTGATACTAATAGGAACTAGAGTCCAACAACTGGACAGCTACAGATTTTTCACATAGTATAATAAATATATCACAAGTTTAGCCCATTTTTTCAACAGAGTCATGGCCCCAACTGTCTTCCTTCACACCTTTTATTGCCAAAGTACGATAGTCTAGGAATACTTACATCTATGAGATGTTTCACCTCGTGCTTTTTGAGATCGCTGCCAATTTTGGCAGCTAGTAGCACACAGGCCCCTGCACACAGCTTCCTGTTCTGCTTGTTGAGTTTTCCCTTGAGAGCAAGCTTCTCAAAATAGACAAAGGCCATGGCTACAGTGGGTTCCTCGAAACCACACTCTTCTTGGGCTAGTTTGCGCATCTCTCGCTTCAAGCTGAAAGGAAACAAAAATACAGTGTAAAAGAAAACTGGGAGCTATAATGCTAATGCCTTTAATGCAGTGAATGTTAAAAACCAGACAATGCACATGCTAGTGAATGAGCTGAAACCGCGATGCTGTATTATGTTATTCTGAGTGTAATCTGCCCCCTCTAGTTCTGAACACTGAAATGTCCATGTTTAAAGTCCATGTCGAAAGTGCGCAATTCACCTTGCCTGCTTCCTATCACCACCTCCCACTGTGTTAGGCAAGGAACAGAGTTGGAGGTCAGGGAACAAAAACAGAGTGGAGTTGAATGGAGTGCCAAGAGGATTTCTCAGCAAGGAAACATTCTAGTGTAACAACAGGTCTTCCCCTCTTCCTCTCATTCACTCCTTATCTTACGATTTCTGACTTGTAAGATAAGGAGTAGGAATGGGGAAAGACTAGCCTTATCTGCTTTGATAATCTGGATTAAATGGCAGTGTAGAAAGGGGGCCTACGTAACTTATCCTACCTTGACCCCCCAAAACCCTGATGGTGAAATCATTCAACTATCTTCTGATGATCAGCAGAATTTCCCTCCATCCCAATGCACTGACCCCTGGTAAAAGAGTAGTTTCGGGGAGGGAGGGTTTTGATTTGCATTCATAACAATAGTGTCAAAACCATGAGTAAGTAATGAATAACAAATGCAATTCCATGGCATTTTTACCTTCTTATTTTACTAAGTGTCAGCTTGATGTGAGGGAATTTCTCCTTGAAAGTCTCATTCATATCTTTCTTAAGGTCAGACGGCTTCACATAATCAATGACTGTTGTCTGTAATAGAGTAAAAAACAAACAAACAGTAAGATTCTTTTTAATATCTTTTTCATGTTGAATTAGAATATAGGCAGTGGTTGTGCTATGAAAATGACCTAGAATCCACTTTGGCAACTGCTATGAGGAATAAGATTATATGGCATTTCATTCAGAGCTCTAGGGAAGGCACCCTCAAACACCCTCCAGCTGTTTAGGCCTCCAACTCCCAGAATTCCTGGCCAATGAACAAGCTGGCAAGGGCTTCTGGGAGTTGGAGGCCAAAACACCTGGAGGGCCGCAGTTTGAGGATGCCTGCTCTAGAGTGTAAGTTCCCTGCAATAAATAGCAACAGAACATTTTATGGATTGTAAATATAAATGCTGTGCATTGTCTTATTAACATAGTAGTATCGCAGCGTTAACATGCTTTGGAACCACATTAACATACTCCGGAAAGATATATATTAAAGAAGCATGCTTAACTTTACTGTAATTCTAGCATTCTGAAATATGATGGCAATGGCAATTAAATATTTTCAACCAATTACCTACTTATGGTTTCACTGAAACTTGTGGAGCCCCCGGTGGCCCAGTGGGTTAAAGCACTGTGCCGGCAGGACTGAAGACCGACAGGTCGCAGGTTCAAATCCGGGGAGAGGCGGATGAGCTCCCTCTATTAGCTCCAGCTCCTCATGCGGGGACATGAGAGAAGCCTCCCACAAGGATGATAAAACATCAAAAATCATCCAGGCGTCCCCTGGGCAACGTCCTTGCAGACGGCCAATTCTCTCACAACAGGAGCGGTTGCTCCTGACACGACAAAAAAACAAACAAACCTGAAACTTGTATAGTTGAATGATTATTAAATGAATTTAATAAAGATGTTCTTAATATATATAATGCACTACATTAAGGTTTTGTGGGTCAGAGCTCTCCTTGTCAGATGCATGATGTTATTCCCATCTATCATGATCATGCACATGCACACGCACACAATCCAGTTTTTATTTATCTGATTTTATTTGTAATTAGCAGTGCTAAAAGACCATAAATGAAAGGGATAGCAAAGGGTTCATGCATAGGTCACCTTGTTATCTTATTTACAAAAGGTTTATTGCTGACAATGTTTTCTTTACAACTATGCTGTGCTATAACTGTAGTGAGTAAGAAATCATGGTAGACCAATGTGTTCTCATACTTGTTTCTCAGTGAGGTCATTCATAATATCTAATCTCTTTACATCTATCTATTTTCTTCTGTACAGACTAATTGATTTATATTTTGCAGATAGAAGAGGAACTTGGTGGTGGTAGCAGTCAGAAGTATTTCAGTGAAAATGGACAGGAGAATTAATAGTATGGCTAACATTAGTCTCTGCAACAGTGTGATCAGAATTGAGGAGAGGATGGAATTGTTGAAACCGTTCCAGAAACATTTCGCTATCCAAGTTATTTGCACAATTCAAAACTTGCCCTAAGGTTGTCATTTTATGTATTTTTCTTATTGTTGTTGGTGGTACTGAAATTAGGATGCATCAAATTGCTGCCAATTTGTAAGCTGCCTTGAGTCGCCTTCAGGCTGAGAAAGGCGGGATAGAAAGATCGTAAATAAATAAATGAATGTTGCAATTGGTGGTGTCTTACAATTGAAAAAAAGGTATACATGTTGCCCTTTTTCATACTCCACCAACAAAAGAATGCCGTAGGAATCTTACAGCAGTTAATTATCTCTGCAGTGTATTTAAGAGGAGGAGAGTTTAGTCAAAACATATGCAGCCTTATCTAAGAATAGGGTTCAGCAAAATGAGGAATTAATATGTTTTATTTTCTACAGTACCACAAATAATTGAAAAAAGTGAAGCATTCACAGCAGCAAAACCACTGAGTTGGGAAACACTGCTATAAATGTTATCTGATCTAGAAGATTTAGTTTAAATGTTACACTGAAACATATTCAAAGATTAATGCAAAATTATTTTACTGCAATATTTGTGGTAACAGAAGGAGAAGAGCATGTATTTTGTTTATATTTATGAAAAAATGACTAAACCTGAAATAACATTAATTTTTGTAGGGTATACTTCTTAACAGCTGGTATCAATACTAATTTTCTTTCACTGAACTATGCCTACAGTACCTTCCACTTCACTCACCCACTTTCTCAAATAAAAATCTGATTTAGTACAACTAGGTAAACTAAGGGTGGGCCTGAATCTTTTCAAACTTTGTTTTGATTACTTGTGACTGAATGAGAAGCAAGATATTTTACAGAAAAATTGCAGAAAAAAATGCAGCCCTATACCTCTGGCAGCTGGCAAGCTGCAAAATAACCCCCGGAAACGGGAATGCAACATTCCCCTAGAAAGCCAGGAGAGATTTCATGCTGTATCACTTCCAATTTTGTCTCAAAACAACAGCTCAGACTTCAGGAATGCAATAGGAGCAATTATTTAAACCAAAATTGTGATAACATTTGAATTTGCTGCGAAGTGTAGTTGCTGGGTGTGTATGTTTATTAGATGATCTCCTGTTAGCTGTGAAAACCCACAATATTTTCTGGGAGCAAAATTCTCATTTTCAAACATGGACTGCAAGTTGGTGCTATGTGAAGTATAGGTCCTTCTTTTAAAAATGAAAATAAACCATCTTAGCACAGGTTAAGCATCCCTGATCTAGAATTCATAAATCTGAAATACTCCAAAATGGTCTATGTGGATGGTTGACACAGTGCTTCTTTGTGACAAAAAAATCAAACTCAACAATATAGTCTGAATTGACAATACTTAGTATTCTGTGGTTTTGAGTGATGGTTGACCAGGCAGGAAGGTAATTGTGGAGGTGATCTCTGAACAAAGCGGTTATGTGAGGAGTCAAGGTTGGCAGCAAATAGGGATAATCCCCTAAAGTGTTCTTGGGACAATCACTCAGTGATTTCAGTGCTGCAATATGGAAAACTTCAATCTTGGCCTGTACTTCTGTTGGGCTCCATCTGGCTTGCACTGTGCAGACGAGTACTGATGGATGAGTGAGCGTCTCTTCAATCTGAGGTGGAGGGGTGGAATGGCTCCGAAAAAACTGTTAATGCTGCCAACTGAATGATAAACCCATTTTTCGGGTTATAATCCTCATCTCCTGATTGTTCTTCAGCTTCAAATCTCTAGCCTTTTTTGAAGAGGCTGGCCTTGTCAAATGGGAAATCACCTATCACCTCCTTGGCCACAGAGGAAAGACTTGAAGGACATATCAATGCGTGTTGGCGAATGGCTACTGTGTTGCACAACATCTACTCACAAAGACCTGAATGAAGTTAGCAGGATCCGAGGATAACATTGTGCTAAGAAAATGAAGTCAAAAAGTTACTGATCTAAAGAGATCTCATAAGACAAAAACAAAACTGTAGACTCGTAAAGAGTACAACTTCCTGAATTTGGCTGCAGCACAGATGAGAGGAATTCAAGTGTTGTGGTGGCAACCAGACCTCTTACGCACTTAGGAGGGGACAGAGTTACCACTAAAGATTTTCTGCCTAGTGATTCTAGAAGGTTCAGAAGAGGCTCTGCACAGGCGCAGAATACCCAGCGTGTGAATTCACAGATGATCTAGTATTGTGCAAAAATAATGCATAATATGCAAAATATGCTTTACTCTCAGCAGGTTCGTTGGAGACCTCCATGTGCCTTTGTAACTTTTGCTATCTGCAGGCTTCTAAAACTTCTAAGGCACACTTTTAACATGTTATGTGCACCATTTTCCTTTTACATCTCCAGGAGTAGACTTGTGGAACCATTCAGTAATCTATTTGATGAAAATATTTAAACTGGTTTGCGTGAAAAGTACACATTAGGCTTTTGGATAACAGGAACACGGGGTGACACAATACTTTGGGGGACAATAAATGTTTATTCTAAGTTCTTCTGATTCATTCTATGTACTCTCAAAGTCCAAATATAGAGTTCCAGCTGCCCCCCCCCCCCCCAAACGCACAAAGTAACAACTAATGTTGCATTTTTTTAGAAAAATGCTGAGTGCCCTCTTCAGCTCCTTTGGCTGTTTAAGGACAGCAAATATAGCTGTATTATTCAACATTTCTTAAATGTTGGGGGGGGGGGGGCTACACCAAATTGCAATAGAAATCCTACTGGAAAATCCACAAAAAAACTTCAAAACAGTTCATTACAGTAATTGTTTTGGGCATAACAATATAATCTCTTAAATATGTACAGACAAGTGAAGTAGGACTGCTTTTTTAAAAGTTGACTCATGATACATATTCTTTCTTCCTTTCTCTGACACTCAATACCTTTATAAATACTAAAAGCAAAATACAAGGATGTTTTTCCACTGAAAAGAATTGCTAGTGGAATTGGTAAGGGGAATCTGCTATCAAATTCTTCTACCAAAATCTGCCCTGGAGAGCTGGCGAACACTCCACACACAGCAGACTTTCAGGAAGCCTGGGAAGTTGTAAAGGGAAGGAAAAAAGAAGGTCTTGTTGTTATCAGATATATCCTGATGCAACGTTGGATCTCAGCATTGCAGCACATTCGGAAGACAGCTAGGTATTTCACCCTTTCCACCAGAACATCCTGTCTCCTCTATATATCACTTGTTACTTGTTAACAATTGTTCAGCTAAAATTTGGCACTTGATAGAAAAGATCATGTATTCCTTTTCTGCCTATGTATTAGGCACATGAAGAGCAAGATATATCTTGTCTGATATATCTTTTCTGAAGCATACTTTTTACTTTTATACCAGCTGAGAGTATGGAAGACATTGGCCCAATTTCCTGCATATTATTAAGTCCCTAAAATCAGCGGAATAGATCAACATGGTAGACTGTTTATTTTTGAGGACATGAAATGTGTTGTTAGCTCATAAACTTTGAGGAGAGCTGGCATCAGTCCACTGGAACTGGGAGCTATTTATCCTGGCTAGCAGTCAACTATTCAACCAGACACAGCAAGCAAAGTCATGACCTGCCATCTCCTTTGGTGGAATGGACAAAACCTGAGGAGGTCTGCAGCCCCAAGTATGCCAGTTCAAACATTTGACATCACCACCAGCAAGACCAGTTACCCTGGAGACCTATTTCACTATCCACATCACCCTAACTAATTTTTGAAGTTTTCCAGCAACCAAACAGTGATGAAAACAAGCTGAAACAAAACCCAGCAGAAACAATCCATCTCTACACCGATTTTTTAAAATCATTGCCAAGCAGGACAAAGATCAAACATTTAGCAGTTCAAATTACTAAATGCAGATCTTCTAACACTGTTTATACCAGCACACCAGTCACATTATGTGGACAAACATGGGCTACACTGCACCATCTCACTATAACGTGGTGTCTTTAACCAAGCGGACTCTGACACTTGAGTTTCAGTTTGAGCTAATACTACTTTATTCCTTCATTTTTCAAAAAACTAGTACTGTGGTTTAAATACAGAGCAAGCTAATTATGTTTAGATCTCACTGAAGTCCCCGTTTAGCGTTTGTTGCTAATAATTAACCTATGTCCAAATAATTTCAATGTGACCTGAACAAACTGATTTATTCTAGATCCAGCTCATTCAATATTTCATATTTATTTATTTATTTGCTTCATTTGTATACCGCTCTTCTCAGCCTTCAGGCTACTTTTTTGGACTACAACTTACAGAAATCCCCATAGCTATTCACCTGGGATAATGTAGGAGTTGTGATCCTGATAAAGTAACTTTTCTAAGGTCTGTCAGCTGCCTTTCAAAATTGGAAATGGGAATGAGTCTCCTTGGGGAGATAGGTGTGGGATATAAATAAAGTTATTATTATTATTATTAGTTTTATTATAATGATGTATTGGTATCTATGGATAGTTCTGTGAAGCCTGCATACTACTCAGGCAATATAACGCAACCCTGGTTTGCAACTCAATCATCATCAAAGGTAGGTACTAGCCACAGCTTGTTAACAGCAAAATGCTAAGTGTAATTTTCAAGTAATATACAGGCAGTCCCCAAGTTACAAACATCCAACTTACAAATGACTCATAGTTAAGAATAGAGGTGAAACAATAGGAAGTGAGAAAAATATACCCTTCGAAAGGGAGAGTTCTGGGAGAGTTATCATGGGGAGAAAGAGTCTCCACTGAAGCTTTCCCACCAATCCTTGTTTCCACAACGATCCAAAATTTTCAAAATTCAATTATCACAGGGACAGAAAGTGAGGTGAAATCTTCTGAGTGGGGGCACAGACAGCAAAACAAACACAAGGTGTTCACCCTTCCCTAATTTGAGGACTGCCTGTAAGGAACCAATGTTGGAGTCTCCTGCTCCTGTGTTCCTCTGACCAGCTGTCTACTCATTGTGTTTGTCTGTTTCACAAAAATAATAAATAGTTTATATGCCTAAGGTACGTGACATTATTTTGAGTACAGTCCTGGGGATTCCTTTTATCGCCACCAGAAGGAGATCACTATAAAAGGCAACCTAAATAATTTATACTATGCTGAACCATAGAAATAAAGAAACATTTAGTGGCTCCACATGAAAAGCAAAGGAGTGCCATTTGTTAATAAGATGATCACCATCCTGTTTTTAAACTGCTCCAATAAACCAGAATCACTCATTTTATTCCCTTATGCCATCCTAGATAGAAGACCCACAATGTTATTATCAAGAAGGGTATAGTACTGAAATAATTAGCAGCTCATTATTCTGGGCCCTTCTTCAAAGGCCCTAAAATCCAAAAGAAACCAGGATAAAAGGGGGATTGGCTAAATAATGCTTGCTGAAAATGCACACTGAATTGAATAGGCTGGATTCAGAAACTAGATTTTATGGCAGTTTAGATGGGGCTTAAGACAATGGATACAGACATGTGACATTAATAAAGCTTGTACTGGAAACCCCCAGAAAAATACTGAGACATTGTACAGTACAGACGATCAGGGGAAAAAACTGCTGGTAATTCAAGGCTTTTGGAGGAACCCTTGGAAGAGCTGTGTATATCAAAGGTAGAAAACCTAAGGCCCTCAATCAACCTTGTATTGCCTCTGCACATAATCATGGTTTTTGTAAAATTTTCTTCTCCATTCTAAGAAGAAAAAGGCTTGTAAGGTTTCATCACTGATGATAAAATATGTTGCTATTTTGATGCCATCCATTAATACTACTTTCAAGAATCTTCTGGAATTGGATTTGGCTAAAAGATAATTTTGGTAAATATCCTTGAGAAAAGAAAGTTAAGAAGGTGTTGCTTGAAGTAACAATGGTTGTAGAAGCAAAATCACTGAACTCCTTGGAACTTTTATTATTCATTTGACTATAAATAGTCAGTAGTCAACTGTGTGTGAACAGAAGCTATCTTAGCCATAGTGATGGGTTGTCAGATAGGAAGTGACACATGAGTTAAAAAAAACTCTGCCAATGTATTTAATTATTTATTTCACATGTCTTATTGTTTAATTGATTATGTTTGCGTGATGTAGGGAGCACCTAAACTTTTTCAACTATATTTTCCTGTACTTTATTCTCCCAACAAGGCTGTTAATGGGGTCAGATAAAAATGATTGGATGACTTAACAGTGTGAGATTAAGCAGGGAAGGATTCATTTCCCATGACCTATGGCTCTTTTAATTTTTTAAAAAAGACTATTTCTCCCTTGTCTTTATTTTCATATAATCACAGTACTATAGACTCAAAAGAGACCACAAAGGCTATCCAATCCAACCCCTTCCATGCAAGAATACACAGTCAAAGGAATCTCAACAGATGGTCATCCAATTTCTGTTTAAAAACCTCCAAAGGAGACTTTACCACACTTCAAATGTTATTGTAGTCAACTACCATCAACTCGATTTTCACTTATGGTGACCCTATGAAAAGAGACTTTCAGGTCACTTAGGATGCATCTACACGGTAGAATAAATGCAGTTTAACTTTAACTCCCATGAAAAGCACAGGATTAACTTTATCCTGTTCAGTTTAAGTTGGATCAAACATGACTCCAAAGTTATAATCAAGTTCAAAGACCAACCCTTTTGATATTATTATTAAACATGACTCACCATATATGAAGGGAATATCAATACCCGCTTATGCTTTCCACATGGCCACTGAGGATCATCTAAAAGATTTGGGTTGTATTCAATATATTCTCCCAAGTCACTGCCTGCAAAGATTAAAGAAAGCAAGCAATTGCATAAGGTAATGCAAGAGTCATAAAAACAACAGAGCAAAAGCTTATCGTCAAATTTATGTAATATGATTCTTACATGTACTTTCTGCATATGAAGCATGTGCTTAAATTGTGAGTGGGCTGAGACATTGTTGTAGATATGATCTATATGGATATGCAAATACAGTTTATCCAAAATAAAATGAAAAAATCTGAAATGTGAAGCTCTTCTGGTCCCACACACTTTGAATAAGGGATATTCAATCTGTATTTCAAACATCAGCAACTACATTAAGGCCAGTGCTTTATGTGTTTGCTAGACCTGGGAGAATGGAACATAGAGCAGCAGTTGTTATCTTTAGAAAACATCGCCACTCTGATTGCAAATGGCCAACTGGTTCAAGAGTTCAGATGTTCCAAAATATTACCTGTATCAATGCTCCCTTGGGTACTGTTAGCCCTTCCAAACGATAGGCTACGATGGCTTGCATTGCGAAACTGAATGGATGAAGTGGAGTCTATGGTGTTTCTCCGTGCTCCCAAGGCATTAGTTGGAAAAAGAAATTGGGTATAAGAAACAGTCTAGACAGAAAAAAAGAAAGAATGAAAGGGAGATATAAGGTTAGTACAGGTTAAGTGCAAGTTTAACCTCCCTTATCCAGAAATCCAAACTCCTTACAAAATGAAACCTTTCTTTGTTTCCAGCTGCCCACTTTTGCCTTTGGGAGAGCACTCCTGCACTTTGGGAGAGCACCTCTCAGATCCTCAGTCTCTATCCAGCCTCGTGTTTTGTATGAGATGTGAAGGATGGAAAGAGACTGGAAAGAGACTGATCTGTGAAATAGTGGGAGTCATGGATTTGTGCAGAGTAAATTGCCTTCCCACTTGGAAAGGGGGGGGGGGGACTGGTAGTGTGAGTGGTGATAAGATGGGGCACCCTCAAGTCTTTCTCTTCATTTTCCTGGAATTTATCCCCTTTTCCTGTGGAGGTGGGGATTTACTTTCTATTCCCCGTTGTTCTTTCATTCAGGGCCGAGTTGGCGAGTGAGGAGATTTACTGGGTTTGGGCCTAAATACGTTCTTTATGAGTTAAACATTCTGAAATCATATCAACAGTGATGAAAACACACTGTTTTTAAAAAACATCTGGAGAATATATTCACAGGCTTTACATTTACACTAGGATAATATAATGTGAAATTTAGCTTAGGAAGCTTAACATTTTATACTTTTCTGATAACCACTCTTACCTTCCCATTGGCTCCCAGTTCCACACCTTCAAGGCCAACTATATCTTTCAAGCAAACTCCTGTGGAAGTGTGACACTGTCTTCCACCTTCCGTTTTCACATCTCTGAGGAGGAGAGAGCAGCAATGAGTAAGATTTGTATTTGTTGTTCTGTCAAATCCCCGTCCGTCCAATATAAAAAAGAATATAAAGTTAGTTATACAGCTTTTTTATCCAAACAGTAGCAGTTTGAAAGTTGGACTATGGCTGAATTCATACTGCCATCAACTGCATTATAATTAAAACATTGTTCCATTATCTGGGTGGAGTCCATTAGGGGGAGCTAGAGAGAGAAGGATTTATCCCGTTTTTGCTGATTATTTTCCCTCCCGACTTCCCGTTTCATAAACAAGGGTTGTTTCCACGACAGGGACATGGGGGGGGAGGGGGGGGAGGGAAATAACAGGAAAACAGGGAGAAATGGTTTTACTCCTTCAACCCACCCACACCTCCCATAAAATGGACTATATTTTCTCTAATGCTCCCTAGTGGCCTCTGCCCGGATAATGAAACAGGACTGCAGTTCCAAACTCCATTATATGACAGGGTAGATCCAACCTATGACTCTGGAGACCAGATTCACCTCCCGTTTCTGCTGTGAAAACTAATTAGTTGATCTTGGACAAGTCTTGGCTATGTGGGAAGTACTTAGTCTACTTTTAGATAAGAGGTCCTAGTGTACTAACTCACAGAACTGTTCTGAAAGCAACAAACATTGCAGTCAAAGTCTAACACTTTCTGCTAGTTACCGTGAAATATACTTCTATATGACTGACTGTCTCACCCACTCAATTTATAGACTGCCTTTACCCCATAGTTAAAAGTTAAGCCAGCCTACAATTAAACAGGTACAAATGAAATGGATTTAAGGTGTCCAGCAGTAATTATACCTGAATCAATCTTACATTCTTGTCTAACTGGCAATTTTTGATTGCTCATAGGACCAGCAAGTGAGGTCCACTTTGATCAGGACTGGGTGTTCTGGTTACTCCTTTTCCTGGTGGCGTTTCCTATCTCTTTCCTTGTTAGTTATATCCATGGAATAAAGCAGTTTGATAATGATCATATTTAAAATCAATGTGCTGGTGAAAAAAGATTAGCACTTTCTTCACAGCTCTGCAATTTCAATTCAAACTGGGGTGCCTCATGGATTGTTTTTTAGCAAACAGACATGTTAGAAGAGGAATTTACTACATCATAAACAGTATGACATAAACTTGCTCTTCTCTAAAGAGTATTATATGTTGATTTTTACTAAATGGTTGCATTTTGTTTTTCCTGGAATGAGGAATTTCTTAGTTAATGTTTTGTTCAATGTTTTACAAATAAACGTTAATGTACAACTATGGCTCAATAAAGAGGCCCTTTACTGCAAGTCAAGAGAATAAAACACATAATCAAGAGAATTTTCTTCAAAGAGAAGGATATGCAGTCTTGCTTTTCAAGAAGCAGAACATGTACAGTATTGGCTTATCTGAATACAGGTGCAGATCTATAAAAATCTATTAAAGAGTTTACTGGGCATCTGCTCTTTAAGTGACAGCATTAGCTGAACACTTCAGCATATGAATAATTGACAAGAAAATTAAATATTAACCAGATTTTTCAAAACCTGAAAGCAAAATGGAAATGCCATAGCACACCATGACAGAAGTTTGAAAAAGGCGCTGTTTGAAAATTCCATCCAATGTGCAGAATATGTATTTTTAGAACAAAATATGGGGTTACTCTGTTTAGAGGAAGTAGAAAAAGAGGATGAATCTGAAAATGATCCCTAGCTCCGGTATATGGATATACAAACTACTGAACATGAAGGTTTTAAAAAAAGGAAATAGCATAATCACAATGAAGATCTGTAATTATTGTGATCAAGAGAGATATTGAGGTATAATTTTACTCTTCCTACACCAGAGAAAAAATTTCTCCTCTTGATTTGGGAAAATCCTGAGATTGATGTAGTTCCATCCCACACCTCACATAGCAAGTGTCAGCTTCAGAAAATAATTTAAAATTTGTCTTCTACATTACTCTGCCTTGAAAACTATGGTCTTATCGCCAAGCTGCCCCTACTGGCATTTTTTAATACAGAGATGAATTTAATATGTAGATTTAGCCTAAAAATGCATTTGAGTCATAAAAAACTCTCCTTTTATTATGCCGACTTCAAAAATGCCACCCAACAATCGTTTTAACTCAGTATGGCACCTGCTAGACAATTCTAATTTAAAGTCTATGATTTTCACCAACCAACCCTGGCAATATGTCTCTTCACAAGCTGTTACATGACTATAGGGTCATGTAAAAGTTATGTCATACCAACACTGACCAGTTGTTACCCAACGTCTCTGAGCTCAAACTTGTTTCATACCACCAAAACAAAAGCAAACACTTTTATTGTCAATCAGTAGTGCTTAATCCAGTGTTGGAACCAATGCTGTCACAATATTATCCCAACCCTCAGCAAAAAACTTCTGTTGTCAGCCAGTAGTACTAAATCCAGTGTTAGAACCAATAATGTCAAAATACTAGCCCATCTCTCAGCAGCAGAAGGTCTTTATATTTTTCACACAATTTTCACAAGGAAACATCTTAGTCCTCCTTGCCATGTTATTCAACTGAACCTGATTCAGAGGGTTGGTTGCACACAAACAAAATGTGATACTGGTCATTGTTATCCACAAGTTATCCTCATCTACAAGCTGTCACCTGGTAGAATTGCCCATTATGACAGCTAGATACCTCCTCCTTCCCTATCTGGATCTTGACTAAATGTGGTATGGGAGAGTGTTTTAATAATGTCAAATTTGATCTCTGCAATAATGCATGCTCATAACAATTAAATGGTGTGAAAGAAATAAGCATACATACCCAACATGGCTACAATCACGATATGGCAGCACTGAAAATATGCTGCAGAAAGATCTTCTTCCACTAATAAGGACTATTCTACAAAGCAAAATAAAGGACACGATATAGGGAAGAAATCCATCCGGTGAATTACATTCAAAATAATAAGCTCGATTAGCCAAAATCCCACCCACCTCCTCTCCAATGTTCTGATATTGTACTGTAGACTACAGGTTATTTTTAAAATATTAAAATGTATCACTTTTTAATATTTGATAGTAAGCCCAGTGTCTAAGACAGCCTAAATACCCTGAAGACGCTACGATACCATGTGATTCGGAAATTCTGGTAAGTATGGGTGTCTGCTGGGGAATATCAGGTACTATAGGCTGCACTTCAGAGGAAGGCAATGGCTAGTCACTTCTGCGCATTTCTTGCCTATGAAAAACTCATGGAATTGATGAGGTTGCCAAAAGTTAACTTGAAGGAATGCACAAACATACACATCAGATACTAAAAATGTGTGTAGTACAGAGGTTYCTGAACATCTGCTCTCCAACCAGAAGAGCTTTGAATCCTTTGAAATGCTCATCACATCTCCAGTGTAAGGAAAGRGAGAAGGCTATATGACACAAGAAGGGCTCTGGTCTTGAGCTAATGCTGAACCCTAACCGCCTTGTGCAGTCTATACCATTCTTATATGCAAACTGAAAACAAGAAAAACAACAACAACAATATCCAGCATAAAATGGAATTAATCTTCTACATTTGGCCAAAGACACCAAATGAAGAGAGTAAGCTGATAATCCAGTTCTTTGCATTTACTGGTAATCAAGTTCTTTGTCAGACACTAACCYACGCAGAATACAAGYGAAGTTATAACACAGTTATTTTATCTGAATGACAATGTCTTAATGTATTCAATAAAGCTGGCACAAGAGGGAAGAAGAGAAAAGATAACATCAACCTGTATGACTATGGTCATTTTATTCCACATTTTATTTTACCTTTTACCATAGAGATATAGAAAATAAATAATATTTTTGGTCTCTTTCATTATTTTTAAATATCTTTGACAAGGCAGCCCAGAGGAAATTACTAATGAGCCAGACAGATGATGTTCTTCTCTCTCTCTCTCTCTTTTTTAGCAACACACTGTGCCAGGGATGGTTGAGAAATAAATGGATCCTCTGGGCCAGAGTTCATAAAGCAACAATAATTGGCGCCTGCTGAGCAGATGACAATACAATCACTTATATACTAACAGAATCTAACATCAAACAGATGGCTTCACTCTATTGTTTTTTTCACACAAAAATTACACTAACTACTACAGTTGGGAGCAGTAATTAAGTTTACAAAAGCATCTGACATACTAGTCTTTTCAGAACACGCAGTCTAATACCTCAGTACGCTAGGATGAGATGTGCAAGGCTTCCAACTGGAGCTGCAGGTGGAACTGAGGGAAATATGCTACGCAAAGTGTCTTTAGTGTGAGATACTAATCTACTGTGGGTGACCTTTTAGTGCAGACAGCAATGCATAGGAACTGAAACATTTAGACTGAAATCTCCAGCCTTCTGTTAGAATTATAAATTATTATTAGCAACACACATCTAGCATTAAAAAAACGGTTCCATCCTACTGGAAGAGAAGGAAGGGAAAAAGGACAACATCAGACTGCAGATACTGGGCATTCAATTCTCTTTAATTTAGAAATATTTTTATGAGGAAATTAGAAGATTCATTTAAGATTTAAAAAATCAAGTTTTTAATTATCTTGTAGTTATTACCAACAGGCTAATACGCAAAGGTACTCCAACCTATTTTCAGTCACATTAATGAGAGAGGCATAAAAGAAAGCTCCCAGTTATTTCTAGGGGACAGGACCACTGCTTCCAGTTTCCAGTATCTTCAGTCAGATAAGGTAGTGAGTGATGCAAAAAGCATTTGTCTGAGGCCCTGGAAAACTCCTGGTTAGGGCAGGCTCTACTGGGCTAGATAGGAAAAAAAGGTCTGTCTGGTTTAAGGAAGCTTCTGATATTTCTATGGTGCAGTGTTGTGCAGCGTGCTTTACTCTTAGTCTAAAGCCATGCTTCCTATCAGTCTTTAACACTGGTCCTCTTGTTTTGCTAGACAGAATTCTCAGACTAGAAAAAACTAGTATGACTAATCACACTCTCTGGAAACATAAGAAAGTGTCAAGGGGGGGCCTAGTCTGCACATGCAGTTTGCGTGACATATTACTGCGCATGACCAGATTCAACTGTTTGTCAGGCGCTTGTTTAACACTGCAGTTATGTACACAAAGTAGGTTCTAACAGATACTGCTGTTTTCCATTCATACAAACTTACATAGGATAGTCAAATAAAGGCTCACTATTATCTATTGTAGCTGAGGCCCCTTGAGTATTATCTTGTGTTTATTTGTCTATCTATAACATATTGATTATCCTCATTTCTGTATCATTCATTTACTGTTGTGAGTGCTAGACCCATCAACGAAGCATTCAAAAGAGCCAGAAGTGGTGCCAGAGAGTAGAATGGAGTCAATGCTTTTTATGTTCTCATGGGATAGATTCATGGCCCTTCCACACAGCCATATAGCCCAGAATATCAAGGCAGAAAATCCCACAATAACTGCTTTGAACTGGGTTATCTGAGTCCACACTGCCATATATTCCAGTTCAAAGCAGAAAATGTGGGATTTTATTCAGCTGTGTGGAAGGAGCCTAAGTTCTTGTTTTATAGCAATCTATTCAGAGAAAGAGATGGTTCCTTTTTTGGTAAATAGTAAGTCAACCAAAGCTTTTGGGGTCAACTTTTTAACTAAAATCTATCAGGTTTTCATGCCCATGTAGGTTATCTGTTATGCAACATGGCAAACAGGTTCATCTCATTCTCCATCAGTAGGGCTGCTTGTCTCAGATAGCAATGATTTGTACCCATTGCAGCTTGATGATGGAGAATTTGCTACAACACATGGACCTTATGGCAAGATTGCTTTCATGTCCCAACCATGTAGACCAGTTTTCAGACTTCAGAATAAAAAAAAGGATTCTCCATTATGTGTTGTGTTTGCCTTACACAGGTTCCTTGCATAAGGGAAATATGCTGTTCTGTATACATAATCCTATTTATAATGAAAAATGATACAATGGCTCCCACAAAGGTACATTTTTTCCTTGAACTTTTTCCCTATTATTGACCAACAAGTATTTGACTGTAAAATACCTGCCACTCCGTGTATCATTCTGTCGTATGTTCTTGATGAAATGAACCTTCTTAAAGTTCTTTGGTCTAGGTGAGCCTGACAGAGTCCGGCACCTGAAAAATAATAAAATTTCAAATATTTAAGTTTTTTAGTGGATGACTGAAATACCTCAACACAAAGGCAGAAAGGAAAGACCAGACACATTATTTAAGTCAGCCTTCTCCATTTAGGAGTTCTGCAGCAAGAACAAAAACAGTAATGTCTAGAAATAAAGATACTTAAAAAAACTGAAGCAGAACTTCCTGGTTTTTGTTATATCTCACATCAGAAAAGTGGTTATGAAAGAATATGATATTGTTCCATTTCCCTGTCACAAGTGTTCCTATGAAACAACTGCTATGTTTTCCTTATTTTAAAACATTCCTTGCTCATAAAAAAGTTCCTTGCTCATAAAAAATATTTAACAGATGGAATCAGAATTTTCCTAAAACATTCCATATATCCCCTCACCCCACCCCTTTAAAGTTGTAGCAAAGAGATGGAAAGTGTGATAAAGAAATGGTATAGTGTATATATCCCTTAGCTTTCACACAGTAAGTAAAATGGCAGGAAGACTGAGGACTGGTAAGCAGAGAATTAACAGGCAAAAAGTACAGAAAGTGAAGAAGTAGACATAATAGTATGCAAAAGATTTTAGGAAGAGGTATTGAGATGAATAGGCATGACAGAGTTATTTTGGACTGAAAGAACAGGGTGATTGAACACAACATGACAACATGGAGGCTGGTGGTAATTTGCTCAATATTGTGTTCAAGATGTCATTCCTGTCTTTAACAAGCTAGCCAGTTATTGCTAAGAAGCCTGATAATGTTTGCAACTCAAACTTTTTTTTTTGTCTTAACACACTGAAAAGCTACAGAACCACTCATAAACCCAAGATGCTTTATGATTTTGTAGGTAAGCTGGGTGATATTCATTCATGTGGCAAAGTTCCTTTTTGTGTCAAATCCAGCACTACACTACATATTATTTAGACAAAGGATTTACTGTTGTTTGACACCACTTTAACTGGCATGCCTCAATGCTATGGGGAATATGGGAGGTTAGTTTTACATGGCTTTTAGCCTTCTCTACTAAATAGTGTTGGTGCCTCATCAAACTACAATTCTGATGGTCCTGCATTGTTGAGCCATGGCTGTTAAAGTGGTGTTGAACTATATTAATTCTACAATGTAGAAGCACTCAAAGATACATGCAAACAATTTAATCTAAAACAGAGGCAGGCAACCATTTAATCTCCAGATGTTTTATATTATAATGGATTACTATCAGCCATGTTGAAAGGTGTTGATAGGGATGTAAACAAAAACATGTGGCCAAAGATTTTCCACCATAGTCTAAAATATGAGCTATTTCATAAATCATTTAAATCATGTAGAATTTATACAATTAATTTATGAAAATCAGTTAAAAGCAAAGACATGCAGTTGTAGAAAATGTTATATGCTTGTTAAACAAATAAAAAGGGAACTTAAATGTCCATTGTTTTTAAGACATAAACTAAAGATTTTGATGCTGAGCAGAGCAGTTTATTTTTACAAAATGAAAGGAGTCATCAAAATCTTATATTACTTTTTACGTAACATAAATTTATATATGTTTAGGTACATAGCAAAGGTGCTAAGAAATATTGTCAGTGAATGGCAAAGATGCATAACAGCACATCATTAAATGCATCCAATGGACATTGGGATCAATGCGATGTTCACTGGTCCCATTGTGCATTCTTCTTAGAAGTTGTTCTACTTAGTTACGTAACCGTAGTCCTCTGTTGGGTACAGACTAACAGAAAGTGTCAGGGAAAGATAAATAACTTTGCGTGTCTCCTGTTATTTGGTCCGCTCCCATATGTATGAAGTCAGATAACTGACCACAAATTGTATACAGTTATTTAAGACTGGCACTTCTTTCATAGAGATCTTAATCTCCTAGATAAATCTTCCTTACTACCTTACATCCTGTTCCTTTTTAACATTTTGCTATTTCTATCAGCAGCTACGGTGAGTTCCAATTAAAGGCAGCCCCGCTGTGTACAGAACTCAGCTGGAAAGATAGCTCCAAGTAAACAACCTGAAATATTAAACATTATTTATTTCTTTGGCAATTATAGTCTCATTTAAATAATTTAGAAGGCACTTCATAATATTCTTATGAATGCTCTTTTAGGAAGTCTGCTGTTAAATAATGTCATGCAGCTCCCCACCTCCTATAGGAAGCAGAGAAAGGCAGATAAATTTCTCTTCAGATTAACAAGTTGGAAACTTGTAGATTTTGATAGTAAACAAAACATTGATAAACAAAGTAATTCAGGGACAGTAATGACTTCGCAGCAGGAGACCCATTACTCATCAAGCCTTACCATATTCCTATGGACAAGGCATGAGTTGAGGAACGGTAACAAAACAGCCAGTTTTCTCATATATGTATATTTTTATCTAGCAGTTCCTTTAAAAACAATGTGTCTCTCATTGGGTACATCTACATTGTGGAAGTAACGTGGTTTAACTCAACTTTAACTGCCATGTTGCAATGCTATGATAGAATTCTGGGATTTGTAGTTTTGTTAGACAACAGTACTCTTTGGCAGATAAGGTTAAAGGCCTTGTAGAACCACAAATCCTATAATTCCATACCATTGAGCCATGGCAGTTAAAGTGATTCCAAGATGCATTGATTCTACAATATATTGTACATGCACTCATAGAAATGACTAGTACAAAAATACCAGTTTCAGGATAAAATTTAATTACTGCCATGCAAGGATGTTTTGAGGAAGCAAGGAACTTTACATCTAACAGACCCAAGACTGTGTTCAGAATAAATCATTCTAGCCCTGAGCAGTTATGCCTATGCCTTAAGAGCTTGCCAGAGCCACACTTTGGGGCTCACCAAATCCACATGGGGAAAGGCTTCCAAGGTGAGCATGGCACCTTAGGGCAGAGTACCCTATTGTTGCCTCAATCAGTTAGTATTGGTCAGAGTTAGGATTGCTCCAACCATAAGTAAATAGAATGAGCTATGTTTTTCGACTGCAATTTCTGCAATGGATTACCATCAGCCATGCTAAAAGATGCTGATAGTAGCTACAAGCAAAACCATCAGGTCAGAGATTCCCCAAGCCACCCTAAAATGTCAGGGTTTTTAATGCAGGAGTTTTTATACATTCAACTCTAGATATAAATCTTTTTGCTATATTATTAGATTTAAGAGAATTTCTGCCATTAGCAGCTGACTGTATATTGCAGAGCGGCCCTTTTAGCTTAATGGTTTTCATTCAATGATGGCAATTACTGGTTATGGTAGCAATGGAGAATGTGTGTTTTCCCAAATGTTAGTGAACTATCACTCCCATCATACATCACCATTGGTTAGGCTGATGGGAAATAAAAGCCAGCAACTTCTGGGGGACTGACCTAGCCCTGAGATATGGTGTGCATTTTTGATATATTAAGAAGCTTATTGCAAAATTGCAACATGAAAAAAATCGCTCTTCAATTGAACAAATAGCTAAACAGCACATATTCGTATAGTTTGTTGGTTTTTTTTTTTTTTTTGTGGTGTCGGGGGCAACTTGAGAAACTGCAAGTCACTTCTGGTGTGAGAGAATTGGCCGTCTGCAAGGACGTTGCCCAGGGGATGCCCAGATGATTTGATGTTTTTATCATCCTTGTTGGAGGCTTCTCTCATGTCCCTGCATGAGGAGCTGGAGTTGATAGAGGGAGCTCATCTGCCTCTCCCTGGATTCGAACCTGCGACCTGTCGGTCTTCAGTCCTGCTGGCACAGGGGTTTAACCCACTGCACCACCGGGGGCTCCATTAGTATAGCTAAGTTAATAAACAGTAAACGAAACACAGAAGGGAGATAAGAGATCAGAAAGTTCAATGCATTCTATTAATTGAATTTTGACACACAAAACCTAGGAAATTATAACAATTTTCTACTTTGTTCAATGTCTCAACAGTTTTTAATGGATGTGCAACTTTTGGTTTTCTCCCTCGCAAAAGAGCCCAATTAGAATGTTGTTAACTTGTTTGTAACAATAAATTAATGAAGTTTAAAAAGAAGAAAGGAAAGGATTATAAATAAAAAAATCTGTAAACAAAATTACTTAACGTTCTAATGCTTGCGTTGAGTTATAAAACCCTAGTCCTAGTTAATCCTTTGTCCCTAGTTAACGTAAGTACCTTGATGAAAGACCACTTGTATCCTGAATTGGTAAAAAGATTACATTCATTCATTCAGATTTTGGATTCTAATGAGAATGTTAGTTTTGGTGAATAGACTGCCTTGAAGGATTGAAACTGATTGTAATGTACAAATTTAGAAACCTTTATTTCTAGCACTATATTTTTTATTATTAAGTTTCCAATTCAACAGAAGTTTTTAAAAATAAAATAATTAAATGTTATACTTTGGTCATTAATATTGTATTCATACAAGAAAAACCAAAAGAGTAGACCAAGTATCATGTTTTAGGTAACTCAAGGCCCTTCCACACAGTCATATAACTCATAATATCAAGGCAGATAATCCACAATATCTGCTTTGAACTGGGTTATCTGAGTCCACACTGGGAAATAACCCAGTTCAAAGCAGACAATGTTGGATTTTATACAGCTGTGTGGAAGGGGACTCCGTTGATACAAGATTGTTCAGTGCAGATTTAAATCGATCTTGATAATTGAACTGATACTTGTAAAGAGATCTACTTTGTTTCACTTCTGCACCAAAAAAATTGCAATAATAAATTGCAATAATACCTCCGAGCCGATGTATTGTACACATTTTATGAACAGGATTGCTCAAACATTACACTGAGAACACGTGTAATGTTTAAGCACTTCTGTATATATTCAAATAACCAATCACGAGGCTATGCATAGGATTTCCAATTATTTGTACAGAACTTGCGTGCACATATTTGTTCATAGACTCATTCAAAGCTTTTGAGACAGGTACAAGTATTCCTTGGCTAGAATTGTGAGACTTAAAGGAACAAAAATGTATATTTTATTGGTTGTGAAGCATGACTCAAGCAATTGAATCATGGTCATTATTTTGAATGAAGACCATTTGCTCTGCTCTGAGGTTGCATAGAGATTATGTGTTTCCCTCAAATACCATGGGTTTATAGCTTCTGGAGATTTTAGCTGCAAACAATGTATTTGGCAGAGCACTGCAACTTTCCTATAACAGTTTTCAAACACTACTTTCTTAAACCTCCGTTCTATTGATATAAGGAATACTTGAAGTTGCACAAACCCTCCCATTTTGCTTATCTTCCATATAATGAAGTAGGTTGTAATAAGCCTCCTTAGTGCTGGCACCTCATTTCTGAAATGCCCATCTTGGTGAGACTTGACTTTGCCAATGCTTTGTGATCAGGTGAACTTTGCCAATGCTTTGTGATCAGGCTTTTGAAGTATGCAATTTTTAATTAGGCCTTGGCTTTATGAGGTTTTAATATCTATTTTCTTAATATTCCACTTATTTAGTGTTTTAATGTTGAATTCTGTTTGTCTCAATGGATTACTTTCAAACTGTTAACATTGTGGGACTTGTTCAATATTAAAGAATGTGGTATTCTGTATATGTGCTTACAAGTAGTCTATCCACTTATGGTTTTCACAGTGTTTTCTTGGTCAAGGAATACTCATGGAATGTACGTGTTAGAAAACATTGGATTCGCAACAGTGTCACCATCCAAAAACCTTGATTCTTCAATTTTCCAATGCAGACTGAATTCCCCTTACATCAGTAGTAGAACCAGACCCTGCATGTACATATATTTTAGAATTATTATGCAGCCATTATTTATATATACCTCCGTAAGGGAGCATTTTCCTCAATGTCTTCCAAAGTTTCCAATGAAGACCTCTGGGAAATCAACCGGCGTCTGTGGAAATAACAATAAATTATATTGAATTCTGCTTAATATACACAGAACAAAACAGAGAGCTCAAATAAACAAAACGTAAGGTCCTGGAGGGTTTATATTTTTTTCTGAAAGATCAACTGACGGTATACTCTTCTGGATCTATCATGAAGCACAGATTGCCTCATGTAGTAGGAAAGCTTTTAATCTAGGCTGTGATACCAGTCACAACCCTCCCTATAAAGAGATAGCCTAGTAAAAGTAATGAGTGCCCTGATAACCTCCAATGTGTTATATGTGCAGCTATCATTGAAACAGCTCAGACACATCAGGTTTGGAAAATTCATGCAATTTCTAGCTGAAAATGGTGTATCTGATCTCATTTGCTAGCACGCTGTCAGTTATCTTGGCCTCTGGCTCATTTTTAGATCCAAATTGAAGTGCAGGTGTTCATCTTTAAAACCTTGAACAACCTGAGGCCAGAGGATGCAAACAGGAATGAGAATCCAGACCTTTTTGGACTGCTACTCCACAGAGCCTTACCAGTATAACCCATGCTATGGGATCCTAGAAGCTGCACTCCAACATCTGGAGACCCATCCAATTCCCATCACTGATCTAAAAGGCTATTTTCTCACAGATCTTTGTGGTTGTTCTTAGCCAAGCCAGGAACCTTGGTCAAGCATATGCAGGGGAAGGGGTGAGGGTCCTCTCCTGCCAGTAGACTGGCACAGCTTCCACCAAGAGTAATGTTTGCTAACTCGGGTGTCCCACATTGTCAGTGGGACATTAAACCATTAAAAAGCCAGTCATGTATTTTTTTTCTATGTCAGGAGCGACTTGAGAAACTGCAAGTTGCTTCTAGTGTGAGAGAATTGGCCATCTGCGAGGACGTTGCCCAGGGGACACGCAGATGTTTTGTGGTTTTACCATCCTTGTGTGGGGCTTCTCTCATGTTCTCGCACGGGGAGTCGGAACTGTCAGAGGGAATACATCCACGATGTACCCTGGATTCGAACCTCCGACCTGTCGGTCTTCAGTCCTGTCAGAACAAGGGTTTAACCCATTGTACCAACCGGGGGTTCCAGTCATATAACGCAAAATGTATATACAGTTCTGAAAACAAATACTTCAGCAAGAGAATAAAAGGAGATGGTAGCCCGGCATTCCTTCACCACATTGATTTTTGAAATATTAAATGCTTACTGTTCAGCTAGCAGCAATTCTATCTTTCCAATAGTATAATGTCAAGTTTTTAACTTTGTTTGTGGTTTTTAAAATACATTAGAATTATTTTCTCGATTGCTTCTGACATGATAAACAAATAAATAGTCCTTCCAAGCTGAGATTCTGTTTATATATGGCTGTTCTAAGAAAGGTGTCATATATATTTCTTTAACAGTTCCTGAAGAAAATTTGCCCTTTCAAACCACAAATTATAGCATTATGATTATGGGATTATAAAGTCTGTACTCTGTAGTGTGGAAAGGCACTGCAGTTTCTTGGCTGAAAATACCCTTTCCTAGACTGCACATCCTAGGACTCCACAGGATAGAACCATGGCTTTTGAAGTAGAATCATACAGCTATAATTTGTGTAGTATGAAAGGGCTAAGTGGTTACAATCACGTACAATCCAAGTTTCTTCAAAAAGTACCTTCAAACATGAAACCAATCAAAGCCATTCTGTTTCAAGCCCTCTATTTCTTGCAATCCTCTCCCATCTTCTGACATTTCATGCTGCTCCTACTATGAGGGTTCCACACCCAAGGAAACATTCTCTTTGACAGCGCTATAATAGCAACACCTCACAGCTCTTGGAACAATTACCAGCCCCTTGCAAACTTCCACATGTCTAAATGACCACCAGAGCTCACCTCCAGCACACCTCATTCTTTCTTCTGCTCTCCATGCTTCCCTGCCTTTCTGAGCTATGAATTAAAACTACAGAGAAAGGAAACAGGAAAGAAAATGGAGGAGATGGGTAGGTAAGCATAGACAGAATGAGAAGCAAGAGAAAGGCATGATGGTGCGCTTACATGAAAAAGAGAAAGTCATTTTTACTGGGAGCTTTGTTTGCTGGTCCTAAATCCTCAAGGTATGTTACATTTTGTTTTCCATACAAAGCGTAATAATTAATGAAAGACCTTTACAGCAAATAAAACTTACTACTATAGATAAAATATTAATAATACAATGTACCTACAATAGAATATGAAAATATAAAGTAGCTGGTCATACAATAATTTGTATGTAATAAATCACACAATTCAATGCAATAATACAAAAGACATAACAATGACTAGAACCAGTATGTTGTAGTGGTTTGAAACACTGGACTAGGAGTCCAAAAGACAACTTTTCTATTCCATACTTGGAAATGCACTTGGGTATATTAGGTAAGCCACACTCTCTTAGCCTCAGAAAAATGCCATGACAAATCCCCTCTGGATAGATTTTGCTAAGAAACCCCCATACTAGGCTTGCCTTCCATTTGCCCAAAGTCAGAAATCTGACTTGAAAGCACACAACAAATATCATTGCCGTTGTTGTCATCATCATCACACCAACACTTTACTTTTTTCATCAGTAGTGAGACAAAAAAGTAGCTCACACCAACAAGGGTAACGACAGAGTAATTATAGATCCGGCAATCCTGGAGGACCGCAGATTCAAAGACCAAGAGAGGAAAAAGGTAATGAAATATCAAGACCTACAAATGGAGATTTGGCATTCCTGGAAAAAGAGGCCCTCTGGGAGAAATTTCAAATGGTTTGACAAAAGAGTTGGAGAAAGGCACCATGGATATGATCGTAATAGCAAAAATATAAAAAATGACCTTCTTTGGAATGTGCTGGATTATGATGTCTGACTAATCTATATTCTTTCATAGAATCGGAATCATAAATCATTCAAAACCCCAGTTAGTAAAATTAATTAGGTAATCTTTTATCATATGTGTTAATGTAATATGTTGTTTTATTTTTATATTCTTTTATGTTGCTTTTGCTGATTTAAATTAATGTTGTTGTTTATCTTAAAAAATTATTATTAAATGTATCAGTGTCAGTGGTGTTGTCATATTTCAAGTGCTAGAAAGTGAACATGTGAACTAACATTATTAAGATACAAATGCAGCGATGGTGTAAAATAGCGAATTGCCAGTTTTCTAATGGAATGTATCAAAAGAACTGTCTAGTAGTGTGATAAGTATCCAAATTCTTTCTTGAACAGGGCACAGAGGGTTATTTGTCCTTGGACTCTGTCAAAAATCCTGCCATATCTGTCTTGTCAAGTCCTGGGAAAGACTACCACTACTCCTTAGGAGGAGAAAGGTGAGGGAAAGGGAAAGCAATTCAGACCACAAAGACCAGCTCTGAGCTTCTGGGAGAAGGAAAATCTGGATGTACTTCATTGGAGAGTGCACCCTCTTTTCTTATTCCAACCAAGTGCTTTTCTATAGTCTCAATCAGCAGCTCCCTCCCTTTCCCATTAATAAGCAACAGCCAAGCAGTGGAAGGACACAGAATTGTATATGCAGAGCTACATGCACATGCAAAATTTTGGCTTAAGTATGAAATATTAAGGATAAGGCCACTGTGTGGTTTTCAGATTTACATGTAAGTTCAGAAATATATCCTCTGCACATAATGGGAGTCATACTGTATTGCTCTTTACACTTTTGTCTATTTTCCTCTTTATTTAGTGTTCTAAATTTGTGCAAATGTGCATGTGTTTATACTTTTGCAATATAGTTGTAATGTATTATTGTTAAAATGCTAGATTTTTTTTGAAAACCAGAAAAATAATAGGTTTTTTTGTTTTCGAAAGGAACTGATTTCAGTATTCTAATCAACAGTCCAACAAAAATACTTTTAATTTAAGCAATATAGTTAAAGCTATACTTTTGTAGTCACAGCTATAAAGGAATAATAAAGCACAATGCAAAGAAAGGTTGCATGTTACAACTGTTGGAAATATTCCACATGGGGAGTGAAAGAAACAAAAGGCAGGATAAATTGCTCCTTATTAATGTTGAAGATTCAAAATATTGCCAAAGATAATTTAATTATATCCAAGAGAGACCTTGTTACCATGTAACAGTTGGTTTCCTATGTCCCAGGTGGGAATATGTGCACCAGCACACTGTTCTTTTTAAAGCTGCTATGCTCAAATTTACAGTTACCAATGGATGCTTATCTTAAAGAGAATTCGCATAAATTAAATAAAATCTATCTAATCCCTTTCCAACTTCCTTGCAGTTTTCAACAATGCTTATCACATCCTCTCATCAAAATAAGGGCTATGTCAAATAGCAGCAAAATGTAAAAGCTGCTGTATGAAATGCACATTTCAGCTGAAATTTGCCAGTTATCAGTTGCCAGTTATCAGTTGCACAAAAAGCTGTGCCAATAGACAAATGTTTGGACATAAATCCTTTCACCTAATCAATTGATAAATAAATCTACATCGAGATAAGTAAATCTACATCTACATTAATACAATGGCTCTACTCGATCTGACATTGACATATTAATTTAGGACTAGACCTCCTTTTTTTCTTAGCCAAAGTATTTGGGGGAGAAACTCAGTAACAGAAATCAGACGTTATTAGTTTAACAGAAATGGAAGTGGAATGACCACAGGAGTCAATGTGATCAACTTTCACAGGAAAACGTGGTTGTTCCAGTGTGCCTTCCCAGAATAAGGAAACCCCCAGCAATTGATCCCTAAATGCACTTTATTAATGATCTAGGATTGTCTGCACGCACCATCCCTCTCTGAAAATTCTATCCTAATTACTTTTTACCTGGTCATGCTCAGCATATTTTAAAATTTTAATTATTACATTTAGCCCAGCCATATGTTTTTAAATATCGTTGTGTTATTGTTAATGTTTATTGTTATTTTCTATTATGACTTTTATTTTATTGTTTTGTATTACTGTTGTTATTGCTTTTATTATTGATGTGTTGTGGGCTCGGCCGCATGTAAGCCGCACCGAGTCCCCTAGGGAGATGG